AAAAATAACTCACACCAACAGATTGCAAAATAATAGCAAAAAAAATAACACTGTTCAACATTACATATGTCCCATATCCCACATCATTTCAAGTACTTTTTGGATTTTGAGATCTTCCTATCCCACTTTTTCTAGCTCCCAATTGGGTAAATATAGGTATGTATTTCCTTGTTATGTGGTAAACCATTTTGTGGCCCTTTTTCCTTTGTGTGGTCCTAGTGAGAGTTCTCTTGTTTGTGTATTTGATGGACATGCATTCTCTGTGTGTAGTTGGAACAAAAGAACCACTTTGTCTCTGTGACTATCACATGCAATAAAAATTAAGGTATTAAGGCATTGTATAATAATAATAAGGAACAAAAGCAATATAAAAACAGACAATTCGAAACTTTGAATAATAATAATTTTAAAAAGAATCATCAAAATTAATAAATAATTTATAATTCGCCCAAAAAGACAGCACTATTATGGGTAACACGAAAAAAAAAAATTGCCCAATTAATACAACTATGAAAGAATTCACAGATTTGTACCAGATATATATATATATTTGATATTAAGAGACAAAAGACAACTTTAAAAAATAATATTAAAAAAATCACTGATTCCTACCAACAAATGGCCTTTGGAAAATTTTCACTAACCGTGCAGAATATATAACATGGAAAAGTGCAAATGAACATTGAGCTATAATACTAACAACTAAGTTATACTAAGAAATTACTCTATAGCAAAAATTATATCAAAAGTCGAAAAAATTACATCTTATAAGCCTTGATGGATTAAAATGGAAATAGTGAGGTTCCTTGAAGTGAATGGTAGCTTGTTAGCTAATTAAGTTGCACATTGGATCAATAAATAGCTCCATTAGGGCCATGAATAACACAAAATATTCTCAAAGCTAGCTAGAGTGTTTAGAAAACATGGTATCTCGACGCCAAAAAAAGAGACTTTTTTTTGCAATTGAAAATGGTATTAAACCCCACACCGCTAATTAGGCTGTACATTACATCCATAAACAGCTCCATTAACGCAATAAATAACACAAAATATTCTCCAATCTAGCTAAGCGAGTGTTTAGAAAACATGGTAGCTTGTTGGCTAATTAAGTTGCACATTGGATTAATAAATAGTTCCATTAGGGCCATGAATAATACAAAATATTCTCAAAGCTAGCTAGAGTGTTTAGAAAACATGGTACCTCGACGCCAAAAAAAAGAGACTTATTTTTGAAATTGAAAATGGTATTAAACCCCACACCGCTAATTAGGTTGCACATTACATCCATAAATAGCTCCATTAACGCAATGAATAACACAAAATATTCTCCAATCTAGCTAAACGAGTGTTTAGAAAATATGGTACCTGGACGCTAAAAAGTGGTATTTTCAGTTCAAAAATGTGGTACATTTGGAAAAAAAGTGGTACCTTCTCAAAAGGGACTTATTTTTACAATTGAAAATGTATTACACCACACATCGCTAATTAGGTTGCACATTGGATCAATAAATAGCTCCATTAGGGCCATGAATAATACAAAATATTCTCCAAGCTAGTTAGAGTGTTTAGAAAACATGGTACCTCGACGCCAAAAAAAGGGACTTTTTTTGCAATTGAAAATGGTATTAAACCCCACACCGCTATTGAGGTTGCACATTACATCCATAAACGGCTCCATTAATGCCATGAATAACACAAAATATTCTCCAATCTAGCTAAACCAGTATTTAGAAAATATGGTACCTAGACGCCAAAAAGTGGTACCTTCAGTCTAAAAACGTGGTACATTTGGATCGAAAAAAAGTGGTACCTTCGCAAAAGGGACTTATTTTTGCAATTGAAAACAGTATTACACCCTACACCGCTAATTAGGTTGCACAGTGGATCAATAAATAGCTCTATTAGGGCCATGAATAATACAAAATATTCTCCAAACTAGTTAGAGTGTTTAGAAAACATGGTACCTCGACAAAAAAAAAAAAGTATTTTTGCAATTGAAAATGGTATTAAACACCATACCGCTTATTAGGTTGCACATTACATCCATAAACAGCTCTGTTAACGCCATGAATAACACAAAATATTCTCCAATCTAGCTAAACGAGTGTTTAGAAAACATGGTACCTGGATGCCAAAAAGTGGTACCTTCAGTCCAAAATTGTGATACGTTTGGAAAAAAAATTGTACCTTCGCAAAAGGGTATTTTAGGCAACACATAAAATAGGAAGAAGGGTATTTTAGGCAACAGAAATATGAAATGGTATTTTTTCATGTGCCACCTCAGCTTTTGGATCAAACACATTTTAAAAAAATTATTGACTTTAACATAACATATGGATAAATATGAGCCACTATGTTCATTTATATGTAACAATTTCTTCTTTTTTTTCGTTTGCATAAAACTGACATAGACTTGCTTATCCTATAGAAACTCGAAACTTTGACATACCCAATGATATTGCCTTATTTCAAAAAGTGTTTACTCTATATAATTGCCAGATCTTTCGACTAAAATACTCCTGAATAAAAAAAGTGAGCAAATAATTCATAGTATTTTCAAAATCAACACTTTGCTCCCCTCCACACTCTGAAATCCACTTTTCGTCATAAGCTTTTGCACGTGATTAAATATTGACTGTTAATTCCAAAAGTGCCCTTCATTATGCCCATTATACCCTCTGATCTTATATATAACCTTTGGCCACACTCTTTATTCCAATGAAACCCAATTTTCCGATCCACTTCTATTCTTCTCTCTATAACCATCAAATTCCACAACAAACATTCGCCACCACTATATGAAATTATCTAGTTCTTCTTTCTGCTAAAACTCTCATGAACACCAACTAACAATAACATTTGTAAATTCAAAATAAAACTTTTTAAAAAAAGTAAAATTAGATTAATTAATATTTTTCTTGTGAACATGTGATGAAAAACTTACAGAGCCAAACAACTGGTTTCTAAAACCAGCCAACCACTGAGTAAACTGGTTTCATGCAAAATCTGCAGCGGGGTTTTGCAATTCAGTCCTCTTTCCTCATCAATTCATCATCCTGGCCTTCCTTTTACTCCTGTACGTTCCTCAGCTCTCTGTTCATTTTATTCTCCCTCTCTCTCTCTATATATAATATATGTATGTATTATAGTGTTTTAATTAATGTCCAATTGATTGCCATAGTTGATACTTGTGCCTAATATTTTAATCTGATTGGTTCTGTTGATTTTTTTTTTTTTTTTTTCGCGAGAAATAATTATTTATGCTGATCACTACAAACAGACAAAGACCCACAAACAAGCATGGTACTACAGTGATGTTCCAACTCCATTTTCTCTATTCCCCACTCTCTCTCACACACACAAGTACACATGGCCATAGCGATTTACTGATCTAATCAACAGCCAAATTAACGTAGTTCTCGCTGTCTGATTTGGTTCCAATTCTTATGCGTAGTAAAATTGTTCAAATAGATTTAGTTTTAGTTCATGTTGAGATTAGAACATAACAATTCTTGTGTAATCCTGTGTCATTTTTAGAGGAGATGATTCAAAAACCTCAATTTATATTTTTCCTTTCATTAAATAATTTAATCTATCAACGTAGATATTTTGCAAAATATATCAATGTAGTGAATAAACTAAAGGTTGCCATTTTTAGAAAATTATTTTACACTCCAAAATTACAATTTCATATGACCATGAGCTTAGAATAACGTAATGGTGGGTGGGGAGATAATGGGGAGAGATTAAAGATACCATTGACATTCTGATCCCAAACCACCTTCCAACTCGAAGGTGTGAACGGACAAGCCGTTTGACCACTTAGTGAAGAAGTGTCAGATTCCGACGACCTTTCCTTCTTCACTGGCTTCTGTTCTACTTCTTCCTCATCGCCTCTGTACCTTTTCCGGTCGCCGTCCACGGCGGCGGAAAACACCACGTCATAAGACTTCCGGCCTCAAGAAGCTTTGCTTCCATGATGCGGTAGTCGAGTACAGCTAGAGAATGGCCCTCGCACACTCTGAATGAACAAATGGGAACTGAGGCAACACCCAGACAAATTTTGGCAAGCCTTCAGTTTAGTCTTTAGGGGTATTCAGGGAATTTTGCAATTTGATGTTTTTTGGTTTTTTTTTAAGGTTAATTATATGGGGTATATATGTAATTGCACATTTTGCACTTTTTCCTTGTAAATGCTATATGATTCATTGGATTGACATGTTATGATTCATTGAATTGACATAGCCCAATAATATCTACTCATTTTCTACAAGAAATTACACTAAGTCCTATAGTTTCATTTGGAAGGCTACGAAGATTATACCCTTGTTTCTGATCTTCTAAAGTAGTCCACATTTAGAGACTCAGGTAGACATTTTAGAATCTCTCTCTTGTATTTGTACCACCAAGATGATGGTCTGACAATATATTATATATATATATATATATATATATATAAGTTTGTCTGGACACAAAATGAGTAATGTGCAAATTGCAAGGACGCCATTGTCGGTAAGTACTAAGAACTTTGTCAATGCGCATAATTAGCACCAGAAAACATCAGGATCTAGAGGACTGGGATGAAAAGTACAAAATTCAGTAGTTAAGATTGCATTATCATTTATAGATTTGCATTCTCAACCACTAAATTTTGTAGCGCTGGTTTCACATGCCCAGTTTCAGCTACAAGGTGACGGTGTTGGTCCAATTGAGCCCTGCAACTCTTCGCACACTCGTATATATATATATATATATATAAATACCTTCCTAACCTAATTTACACAATGGGCATTTATAGTGGGAGCAGCCTAGTTAGTAGAGAGGTCCAGCTTCCTGATCCGGTGCTGGCTACGTTCGAGTTCCAGTTCCCCTCCCATAATTTGTCAAAAATCGAAGAAAAAAAAAAAAAAAAAAAAAACTTAATGTACAAAATTGAGATGATAAAAAAAAAAAATAAAAAAATAAGAACCAATAAACAACACAGTACGATAAAAACCCAATACCAGAAAATGCCCTCGCCCTTCTCATCTTCTTATAACTCTCGTACCCTTGTGGGTGAAGTGCCACAAGCAAATAAAAAAGATTGAATCCAATGCCAAATTAGCTACAACTCATAAACTCTTTAAACTAAATATGCCACTGAAATATAGTTTCAATTACTTGTAGTAGGTAATGTAATAAAGCACTAGTGCATAGTATGATAGTAAAATAAAGATAGATATATAAGATCTAGAGAGAGAGAGGTTGAGGAACCTAGAGAGAGAGGTTTTTAATGGTGAGGGCAGAAGGTGACCAAGTAGCTTCCGCCATGGCAAGTAGAAATACTAGTTGGATCATCATAGGCATAGGAATAAGCCCTAGGACAAGCCGCTTTGAAGATCCTCGAGTACGCCGTCGGCTTGCACGACTGTGGATTCCCAAAGCTTCCCGTACAACAATACCTCGGCGAGTTAAACGCGAAGCAAGCACTCTTACACGCCACAACTCGCCGATTATCGTGAGATCTCACCTGAAGACCCACCGGACACATCATGTTCAGATCACTCACACACCCGGCGTAGCTGCACTTGCCGGAACCCTTGAACGGCGTGATGGAGATGGCGAGGTTGTACCCGTCGACGAGGCTGACGTCGTAGAAGTCCTGGTCGGATCCGAGAGTGATCTCGGCGAGCGTGGCCGGAGGGGCTCCGCCGGCGCCGTTGCAGAACAGGGTGCCGCCGCAGTCGCCGGTGGCGCAGCGGCCTTTGCCGGCCGCGTCGAAGGAGCAGCCGTGGCGGCCCCAGATGCGGCCGGACCAGGCGGCGGGGAGGCGGAGGGAGAATGCCTTGTTGGGGCGAAGCTTGAAGCCGCCGCGGGCGAGGATGGGTTTTCCGGCGCCAGGTTGTATGCCTGGCCACACTGGGTGGCTGCACTTGTTGAACAGAGTTATAGTCGTGGCCGAGACTTCTACTGTGACCAAAAACACATTGTTAGAGAGAAACAAAATGAGAAATGTGTGTAGTTTGTGTGTCTGTGTGCGAGAGAGAGAGAGAGAGAGTGAGTGGGAATAAAAACTAATTAAGAAGGTGAGAAAGAGAGAGATGATACCTGAAATGTGAGTAATGTAAAGACTAGTGAAGAAGAGGAGAGTGAGGAGTGATCTGAGCATCATAACTTCCATGGCAAGCTGAGCCAGGAGTTTTGTGTAGCAACGAATGAGTGTGACTGACTTCAGTATAATGGTAATTGAAGAATGGGAGGCCCTAGCTTATATAGAAAAAACAAAAAAACAAAAAGTAAAAGAAGATATGAAGGTTATTTATTACTCCTGGTTGATTTAATTTCTTTCATTTTCATTTTTTCAGAAATGGGAGAGTTATGAGATTATGAGTGAGTGTTTTTTTTTTTCAATATTAGTTGAGTTCATTTTTGATTGAAAGGGGTGGGAAAACCGTTCACTATCAAGCTGCTGTAAAAAAAAAAAAAAAACCTTTATTTATTTATTTTTTACCTAGAGAGAGAAAAAAAAAACACCCAGAGGAGAGAGAGTGGAAGACGAAACATTTGAATTTAGGGAGGAGAGAGAGAGTAAATGATGGACAAAGAGCTCAGGCATCGAGGTTGTCAGATGTCAGTGGGGGAAGGTTGTCTGCACCAAAAGCAAAGCAAAGATGGTAGAAAGGAATCTCTGTGGTGTGGCAGGCACTTTGTCTGAGTGCTGGCCTAGTTCTACGCCAAAATTTACCACACGAAATAGGGTCCAAAACAGTACTTATTCAAATGCCCCCAAAGCGATTCAAACCACGCCCTTGATTACTAACGGTACCACCACTTCAACTTCGTTTGGAATTGTTTTCACAAAAAAAAAAAAAAAATTTGTTTTTCAATGACCTAAAAATGCTTTTAATTTAAAATATTTGTGTTTAAATGTGTTTGGTGATTAAAATAAATGTTTTTAGGCTATACATATTTTTTAAGGAAAAAAACTATTTTAGGTCCTTGAGATTTCTTTTAATTTTTTTTTTATTTATGAACTTTATAATTTATAGTTTTTAAAATTATATGTGAATAGAGGTATGGTATTTTAAATAAGAATAATTATATTAACTTTTTTAAAAATTTGAACAATTTATGGACGAGCAGTTCCACATCCAACAAAATTGTGAGTAATAATAAAAGGAGGAGAGGGCAATATCTATTTGGTTATTACAAGTAAAAGTATTTTATAGGGTTAATTGCACTAACACCCCTTAAAGTTTTGGTCAATTATACTTAGCAGCTGGTCAATACAATTTTAGACAATGACACCCTGAGATTTCAAATGACATAAATGGCCCTCAAATTAAATTCAATTTTATTCACAAAATATTAGAGGTGATCATGAATCGGATCGGTACGGTTTGGGATAAAGTTCAATCCGAACCGGTCCCCACAGATTGAAGAAATTTGAAACCGAACCGATTCGTAGGAAACTTCAATCTAAACCAAACAGATCCGTGAAATAACAGATCGGATCGGATCGGATCAGGTTGGACGGATTGGGCTTTTCAAATGGCCCAATATAATTGCACTTCATAGCCTTTAAAATCTCAAATTAGTAATTAAAACTAGAAAAATAAAACAGATTTGTAAACCATATACCAGGTAACATGCTAATAGTAATAGCAATAAAATTTGTAAATCATATATCAAATATCAGTAATAGATTTGTAAATTATATATTTAATACTAGGCAATATAAATTATTCAAATAGAATAATGAATAAAAAAAATAAAAAAATACAGCAAGTATATTCAATATGGTATATATATAGTTATATAATATATTATTTAGGTAACGGTTCGGATTGGTTTTTTCATGGCTCAATCCGTTAACCGAACCGCAAATAGCGGATTGCTATTTTTCTAAACATCACCTAATCATGAGATCTGAAAATCAAACCAATCACACAGATCAAATTGATTCAGACCGGATTGATAGATTGTTTGCTTACCCCTACAAAATATTATCCAAGTGAATTAACGAAAATAACCCCAATGTAATTAAGAACAAATTAAATTTTTTTTTCACTTTGACATAAAAGATGACGAGGGAGAAAGTGTTGCCCTCTTTAGAGGAGTGTCGCCACTACTAACCACTATTGCCACCTCCACCACCAACCGCCCATTTTCTCTCCACTCACTACCACAACATCAACCCTGCAACCACCACCCACCATTGCTGACCCATTCTTACCACCAACTGCCATCACCACCACCAATCGTCATCGCCTCCATCGCTAATTTGACCGCTGTAGGTGCAAAATTTCGCTCAACCAATAATGATTGAGAAAAATAAAACAACTCACTCAAAAAACAATAAGAATAAATAAGAACAGTGTATAGAGAAGCGTAGAATTGTTTGATCCCTTTATTGAAGGTCTATGCCTCTATTTATATACAAAAATTGGTAGAATTAAGGTAGGACTTGCGTTGCTTGTCCTCCAATTCTTCCCATATATAACTTTCTTTACGAATAGAGTTTTTTCTATTGTATAATATTTCCTACGCAGAACTTGCCTTGTATAGAACTTCCTATCAAAGAATTCTCCTTTTATGGTAAATCCTTCTAACGATAGGACTTGTTCAATCTTGGAAAACTGGGCTGAATATACCTTGAACCAGCTGGGCTTGAATAACGGGCCGGATGTTTAATATTAACATGTTGGGCTAATAATCTCTTAATTTGGGCTTCAACAGGGCTGAAGGTCAAATAACAATAGCATTGGGCTTGCGAACAGTGATCTTGGACTAGTATCAAACTCAATTTGGGTTTGAGCGAGGTGGGCTTTATAAACTTATCAAGGATATGTTTATATTTATGATGACGTGGATTATTCTCATTGGAGGGGATTTTTTCCCTCCACACTTAGTCCCCAATTCCTTTTTTAATTGGAGTACTACTCCTAATAAGAAGGGAATTGAAGCTGTACGATTACCAATTTCGTAAGAAGTGGATTTGAGGCGTGATTACTGATATTCTGACCAAAGGGTTTCCATAAGAGTTACTTCCGCTTTTACTGCGTTCATTTGATTCCTTACGTTCTTCATTTTGTCACATCACTAGGTTAGAGCATTTGTCATGGCAGAGACTGGAGCACCTTGGAAGCCATTTATATCTAGAGCTGATAAATCAGTTCTTCACTCTGGTGATTCTATGATTACCGACCCCTTTGTAGCACTAGCAGTTGCTCGGGGAATGTAATGTGGAGTTGGAATAACTGCCTCCATCTGCCCCTGTTCGAGCCATTGAGGTTCGTCATTCTCCCTTTCTTTTTGTCTTCTCACCATCAAGAAGTTGGAGAAAGATCTTGGCAATTCTAAAAAGAAGGTCTCGTATGCAGCCATGAATGCAAGGATTGCATCTGAAACGAGGGATGTTTATAAGATAAGAAGTGTTTGGCCGTGTCTGAAGCTAAGGTGGAGACACTGGAAGCTGAGGTCCAGCGTTTGAAAAATGCAATTGGCACCCGTGGTATTACTGGGAAATAGATGCAAGGTCGTTACTCTACCTTAGTGCGCTTGTCCAGGGCTAAGGCCTTTCGATTTGGCTTTGTACAAGGCTCGGGAGATAAGTTGAATGATCCGGAGGCCTTTAATGCTGACATGGAAGTGTCCTTCCCTTATCCTGAAGGTCCACAAGCCCAAGAAGCTGAAGTGCTTTATGCTAAAATGGTGAAGTTTCATCAGGATGATCATCTAGCTCCAACTTCATCAGTTCATGCAGCTCCCAACCCTTCGATTCCTCCAACTCCAAGTCCAACTGTAGTGGACGCTTTTGACTCTGCTTTGTTATGGGAATTTGTGACTGCCCTTACATTGCATACGCTTTGTTGCACAGTAATGTCCTCCTGTTTCTCAAGAAAATACACTTGTTTGAGGACCTCATATTTTTTGTGGTCCGAAGTGTACAGTTCCTCGGCGCTGAGCCTGAGAGGAAATGTACTGAACCGGACACTTAGAGTCCTAAGTAAAGTATTCCTCGGCGCTGAGCCTTAGAGGAAATCTGCTGAATCGGACACTTAGGATCAGAAGCGAATCGGTCCTCGGCGTTGAGCCTCAGAGGAAACGTGCTGAACTGGACACTTAGGGTCTGAAGCGAAGTATTCTTCGGTGCTGAGCCTTAAAGGAAACGTGTTGAACCGGACACTTACGGTCCGAAGTTAATTATTCCTCGGCGCTGAGCCTTAGAAGAACTGTAATGTAACGGACTCTGGAGAGCCGAGGCATGTAGTTCCTCGGCGATGAGCTTGAGGGAAACTGTATTGTACCAGACTCTGGAGGTCCGAGGTATCTAATTCCTCAGCAATGAGCCTGAAAGGAATTGTAATGTACCGGACTCTTGAAGTCTGAGGTATGTAGTTCCTCGGCTATGAGCCTGAGAGGAACTGTAATGTACCAGACTCTTGAAGTCTGAGGTATGTAGTTCCTCGGCTATGAGCCTGAGAAGAACTGTAATGTACCGGACTCTTGAGGTCTGAGGTATGTAATTCCTCGGCTATGAGCCTGAGAGGAACTGTAATGTACTGGACTCTTGAGGTCTGAGGTAGTAAGTTCCTCAGCCATGAGCCTGAGAGGAACTGTAAGGTATCGGACTCTTGAGGTCCAAGGTAGTAAGTTCTTCGGCTATGAGCTTGAGAGGAACTATAATGTACCAGACTCTTGAGGCCCGAGATAGTAAGTTCTTCGGCTATGAGCCTGAGAGGAACTGTAATGTACCGGACTCTTGAGGTCTGAGGTATGTAGTTCCTCGGCTATGAGCCTGAGAGGAACTGTAATGTACCGGACTCTTGAGGTCTGAGGTAGTAAGTTCCTCGGCCATGAGCCTGAGAGGAACTGTAAGGTGTCGGACTCTTGAGGTCCGAGGTAGTAAGTTCTTCGGCTATGAGCCTGAGAGGAACTGTAATGTATCGGACTCTTGAGGTCTGAGGTAGTAAGTTCCTCGGCCATGAGCCTGAGAGGAACTGTAAGGTATCGAACTCTTGAGGTCCGAGGTAGTAAGTTCTTCGGCTATGAGCCTGAGAGGAACTGTAATGTACCAGACTCTTGAGGTCTTAGGTATGTAGTTCCTCGGCGATGAGCCTGAGAGGAACTGTAATGTATTGGACTCTTGAGGTCCGAGGTAGTAAGTTCCTCGGCCATGAACTTGAAAGGAACTGTAATGTATCGGACTCTTGAGGTCCGAGGTATGTAGTTCCTCAGCGATGAGCCTGAGAGGAACTGTAATGTATCGGACTCTTGAGGTCCGAGGTAGTAAGTTCCTCGGCTATGAGCCTGAGGAACTGTATTTAGGCCAGATAGTCTGGGCTTAAAAAAGAGAGAATATGTTTTCTTTTCTTAATATCTCTTTAGGG